GAATGAAAGCAGCATGGGCAGCGCCAGCGAGGCGAGACTGTGGGGTCCCCCGGCGGGGGGGGGGGTGCTCCCTGAGCCCCTCTCCCTGGAGACAGATGTCCTGTCTCAGCCTGGCATCAGGCAAGAACAAGTGGGTCCCATGGGCAGTGTTGGGCAGGGCAAACCCTGGGCACCAGGACATGGCTTCCCTGCCTTACCCAGTCTCATTGCAAGGTCCAGGAGGTATATCCACTTTCTTCTCTGCCTTCTAGCTGTTATATCTGGTTGTGCTTGATTTACTTGCTGCCAGAGCAAAGGCTGCTATGGCTGGGAAGCTCTCAGGGCCTCTCCTTGTATGAAGCAACCTCAGCTGCACTCTGGTTGCAACAAATCTTCCCACACTGGGAGCATCCCTTAGGAGATTCCCTAAAACCCCAGCAGTGCCCACCTCAGCCCTGGGGTCTCTCACTTCCTGCCTGACTGGGAGATGTTCAATCACAATGCAAGACTCATTCCGGTATGTAATGCTCCTATGATGGGTAAAGCATTTCCTGCTGCCAGCCTCCAGTAAGAGCACAGGATCTGTGCTTCAGGGTGGGTTTTCAGTGACTCTGAGCCAGACACTGGCTCCTGCCCAGGTAAGGAGTAAAGGGAGAGGGTTGCGGAGCAGCACTGGGCAGGAGAGCTCACACACACATTTATGGAGGTGAGCACAAGCCTGAGCCCAGCTACCCTACACTGAGCCCTGGGGGCAGGTGAGGGAAGAGCCCTGGAGTGCAGAGGCTCAACTTCAGGATACCATAGCCAGGACTGCTCCTGGGTCAAGCCCTCGGGCAGGACTGTCACCCCTGTGATTCCTGTGGCTGCAGGTCCTCCCTCTGCCCCAGGAGGCAGAGGCTGGTGCTGACCTCCCATGTCCAGGCTTCCCCTTTGAGCCACACCAAACAAGGGCTTTTGGAGGAGCTGGAGCACATGAGGCCACATGCCCTGGCTTATTCTCCTTAAACCACGACACTTACACTTTTCTTCTGGTGACTCAGTGCAGCCAGGCAGGCTCTGTCTCTTCTCCAGCTGAATTCAGTCACAGAGAGCAAAGGCTTCCCTGCAGTGCAGTGCTGTGTGCCTGCAAAAAGCCCTGTGTCAGCAGGTGCACACACAGGCCTGATGCAACCACCCCTCTGGTCACCCCATCGTGTCAGCCCCTGGGGTCCCTTCAAGGTGCTTTGCCTGTGCCTGGGGATGTGCATACCCTAATGCCTCCTATATCTGGAGCTTGGGGTCCCTCTCCTCCTCACTTCTTCTGGCGCTGGGCCTCCTCCTGTCACAGTTAAAAATTTGCCTTTCCCAGCCGAGCACCAAGATCCCATAAAAGTGTATTGTGGAGATCCCTTTGCAAAGACCAAGCCAAGTGTTGTCAGCTACAGCATGTAGTAAGAAAACACTGGCCTTATGCTGGTGGTGACGTCCTTACTGGTGTATCCCCACCTGAGGGTCTGCCTGACAAGGGAGCTAGCTGATTAGCATCAGGTAATGATGACAGCCCTCCAAATCCCCAAAAGTGCTGGTGCTTCCTGAGGAGGCCTCCTGAGCAGCAGCCTCTGCCACCCAAGGAACCCTGCTCCAGCTCACGCATCTCTGCCTGGTCTAAGAAAAACACCACTAAAACACTGCCCTTAAATGCCAGCAGCAAATGGAGAGAAACCTGAGGCAGGCTGAGCAAATGAACCCGTTATGTCATGAAGGGCTGTGTGTAAGCTGCTGTTTCTACAATGAGAGCAGGGAGTGGGAGGAGCGGTTGATGTTTTCCCAGCAAGGGGAAACTCCTGGGTGGAAATACCACTGCACCCTGGCAACGGAGCCCTTCACCCAGCAGGGCAGTGCTCATCCAGCCTCATCGCAGCCGGGTGATGCCGAGCGGAGCACAGGCTCTGTGGTGAACGACTCTTCACATCGGAGGCCTGTGTGAGTGCACAGGGAAGCTGGGGCTGAGCTCAGCCCCACAGTGTGTGCCTGCAAGGGTGGGTTCCCAGGAAGCTCCTCCTGCCTGCCCTGCTGCTCCCATACAGCCTGTAAGCACCTGCTTGCCTGAGATGCATGAAAGGACCAGGAGTGCAGGGGCAGGAAGAAAACAGAGTCCTTTGGCTGGGGAAAAGCTGAACTACAGTGGGAACAGTGGTACCTGGGGGAGATATATAGGAAACGAGAGGCTTGAAAGAGGCTTAAGGAGCAGCTCCCCACTGAAGGTAGAAGGAAGAGAAGACCCATGCTGCTGACGCAAGTAAAACCTAAAGTGCTGGGCTTTCCTGGGTGTCAGCCTAGCCTTTAGCAGGAGCCACCACTGGGAACGTGGAACACTAGAAGGGAAGGAGCTGCTAGGGTTGAAGGACAGTGGGGTTTGGTGGCAGCTAAATAATGGGGTATGTGAGGTTTGAGGGGCTGTGTTGTCATCTCTCAGCTCTAACAATAGAGACAGCATGCAATACTGCTGGCCTCCTGCCTGTAGCGCTGTCCTTGAGACAATTTGCATTTGCACAGCGCGAAAACTTCACTTCCCCCTTGGGCTGAAACAGCAGAACCTCCCCCGGGGGAGGTGAAAGCCCTTGGGCAGAACAGCCTGTCAGGAGAGTGACAGACCGAGCTGGAGTCCCACGGGTGCTGCCTCTTGGCTAGGCAGCACAGCTCAGGGAGCTGAGGTCCCTGCCAGCATGCACAAAAGCTGGCATCTATCAGGTGTGCCCAGGCTTGTGTGCGCTTTTCCTGCTGGTGCCTCAGTTTCCCACTGGAAAGCAGGAGCTCTGCCAGGTGGGCTGGGGCTCCGTTCCCTGCAGCAAGGACTTGCTGTGGTCAGAGCCTTGTGCTTTGCACCCTGGTGAGCTCTGTCTGTGTGGCGCAGGTGCCGGAGCTACAGGACACGCTGCTCTCACACTGTGCACAAGGTGGTGAGACATTTGTGCCTGGGACACTGGGGCCGTTTCATTGCAAATAGAGAGGGAGAACAGTTAGCATCTATTTCTGAAATAATGGCTCCAGTGCACCAAGCCTTGGCATGATCCTGTGTGCACAAGGGAAAGGAACCCCAGACCTGCAGGAATAGCTCTCAGCTATTCCAGCATCTCCTCCCAGCTGGGCCGTGGGCACGCTGGAGGGGCAGGAAGGCACAGGGTGAAAGAGCCAAAGGGAAGCTGTCCCCTGAGCTCTGCCCTGTGCTCCAGGAGCCACAGGTGTCCATGCCACGGCTCAGAGAAGCTCCGTCTCCAGTCTGGGTTGCAGTTTTCCCTATATCACTTCCACTGATGTTCGACATTTGTTCGTTCCGGCTGTAAAACCTCTCCTGGCCCTACACCAGGTATTTTCTCACCTCAGTGCCTCAGCCAGAGCAGCCCTGACTGTTGGAGTATGTGTGGCTCAGGTACATCGGTCTCTGTGATTAACACGCTCTTTGTTCTGGGTGTGCTGCATGGCAGGGGGATGGGAGTTCAGACCCGCAGCCCCCAAGGTGTCCTTGCTGTTGCAGAGAGAGGTTGGTGGCCCATGCCCTGTCCTGCTGGGCCCGTGTTCAAAGGAAGGCAGCTTTAAACAGGAGCAGGGGTCCAAGTGGTGGCTGTAGCAAAGCATAATCCTCACCTTCTGGCCTGGGCCTTTGGGATCAGGACAGCCGCAGACATGAGGACTTCCACATGTTGTGATCCCATTAGAGAAGTGCTCTGAGTGCCAGTTGAGATGACAGCCCTGCTGTGCTTGCATGAGCACCGTGAGCTCCCCTTTCCCAGGGCTTGCTCTCCTCACAGGTCAGGCTGACAAATGTGAGAAGAACAAACCCACCAGTGACTTTCCTGCCTGGGCCAGCCTGAGGGTGACGACCCACTCCACCACCTCTGCTGATGAAGGGTGTCAGCACATCAGAGTGGCGTGAAGGAGCTGGTTCGCTTCGGGACAGAGCTTGATGAAAACCCCAGGAACAAGAACATTTGCACCAGCTCCCACAAACAGGTGAGTGTCCTGTGGTGGGGATGGCTTCATGCGTTGGAGAAGGAGCCTTGGAGCCAGCTCTGCTCTGCTTACAGCTGGACTTCATGTTGCTGAGCTGTGCTTAGTTTTCACCCCCAGTACGCTAACAGTTTAACTACCCCAATGAACTCCTAATGGGGTGCCAGCAGGGTTTGGACACGAGGAAGTGATGCTCCCTCGAAGCTGCCTTCCTCTCAGCTTCAGTGCCTGGGCAGAACTCCCTCCGGGCGACCCAGAAACGGGCACGACCGGGGCTGCGGGTGAGCGGGCAGCAGGTGCCCCGGGACACCCAGCGCGTCCGCCACGGGGGAGCTGCGAGGCGCCGCGGGTTCCGCGCCGGTCGCTGCTGGCAGAGCCCACCGAGACCCCGCTCTGCGCAGGACCAGCCCCCGACCAGGCGGCCCCCGCTGCCCGTGCCGGCGGCGCGGGAGGCGGACGGGACAAGGCGGCGGGGGGCCGAGGCTCCGGGTGAGGAGCGGGGCGAGGCCCGCGGGGCACCGGCAGCCCGGCCGCTCCCCTCCCCGGGGCAGCGCGGCCCCGGTAGCGGCGGCCCGTGCGTGCGGAGCTGTCCTTCAGCACCACGGCACCTGCCGCCGCCGGTGCCCGCGCCGGGCCGGGCCGGGCCGCGAGTGGTCGGCGGGGCGGGGGGAGCCGGCCAGGCGCGCAGGCGCAGGGCGGCGCGGCTCCTCAAGGTGTTGGCGGCGCGGCCGAAGATGGCGACAGACTGAGGGCATGGGGCCCGGCGGCGGCGGGCGCGGCGGGGCCCGCGAGCTGGCGCAGCCGACGGGGAAGCGGAAAGCCGAGTGAGCGGGGCCGGGGCATGCCCCCGAGCGGCTGGCGGCGAGCGGCGGCCGGGGCGGGGAGCGGCGGCGGCAGCGGCGGGGCCGAGGCGGCTCGGCGGCCGGCGGCGGCCTGTAGGCGGGGGCGCGGGCATGGCGGCAGCGGCGGCGGCGGCGCGGCGCGGCGGCCGCAGGTGACAGCGGCAACAGCGCGGCGCGCCCCGCCGCCGCCGCCGCCGCCCCCCCGCGCCGCTCCCGCAGCATGATCCGCGGCGCCTGGATGTACCCCCGCGGGGGCGCCGCCGGCGGGGCGGTGTGCTGCGCGCCGCGCCGCAGCGACAAGCCGGTGGCCGACCCCGAGCGGGCGCAGAAATGGCGCCTCTCGCTGGCCTCGCTCCTCTTCTTCACCGTCCTCCTCTCCGACCATCTGTGGCTCTGCGCCGGGGCCAAGCTCCGGGCGCGGGAGCGGAGCGGCGCCGGGAGGGCGAGGAGCCGCGGGCCGCGGGCCCTGCTGGCGGCCGACCCGGCGGGCGGCAGCTGCGAGGCCCTGCTCGGTAACCTCAGCCGGGCCCCCGGCCCCTGCCCCGCCGCCCGCGGCGACCTGGACTCGGCCTGCGCCCGGCTGCATGCCCTGCAGCGGCCGCGGGGCTCCCCGGCCGGCGCGCCCCTCCGCTCGCCCCCCGCCGCCGCCCCCTACTTTGCCTCTCCCTCCTCCAAGAGGACCTTCCTGCAGGCTTACTTTAGGAACTTCAACCTCTCCTTTTGTGATACTTACACGATCTGGGACCTGCTGCGGGAGATGGCCGGCCCGGACGGCCTGGACTGCAGCGTGGACAACCTGATGGTGGACTTGGTGGTGGCGGCGGCCGGGGCGCTGGGCGGGGAGGCCTGTAGCAGCTGCGTCCAGGCGTACCAGCGGCTGGACCAACACGCTCAGGAAAAATACGAGGAGTTCGACCTCTTGCTGGAGAAGTACTTGCAATCGGAAGAGTACTCGGTCAGATCCTGCCTGACAGACTGCAAGGTAGGATGGGGCATCCCAGGCTCCCCCCGTGCTGTGCTGACAGGTGGGCAGCATGCTGTCCTGCAGTCACACTGAGCCCCGGGGGTTTGGCTGCAGAGGGATGCCGCAGCCCTCCTGCCCACATGCCTGATGGAGCCGTGCTTCCCACAGGCTGGAGGTCTCCCTGTGCCCTCCAAGGCACAGCTTGTCAGTGGTGGTGAGATGGGCCCAGAGCCCTCAGGGCAGCCGGGATGGGGCGGTGGGAGAAAGAGGGCAGAGCAGGACTTGGTCTGGGTGTTCATGCACTCATCCCTTCACATCCATCCACATACAGGCAGGCTTCCAACACCAGCCTCGCCTGCACCCCTTTATGTGTACAGACACACACTCGTGCACGCACAGGCCAAGCTAGGGCAGCTTTGGGGCCCCTCATCGCTGCCTCTGGCCTTCTGCTGCTGCTGCAGAGGGTTGCTGCGGAAGGTTGCTGCAAAACGGCTGGGGCTGCCCAAGGCTCTGCGAGTGACAAGCAGTGACCTGAGATGAACCAAGGTGCCAGAGCCCCTTCCCCGATTGCAGCAGCTGTGTTCCAGCCCTTCCACCCGTTTTTCCCAGGGAGGTGGGCCAGGGGTGCTGGGATAGGAGTCCTCTCCTTGGCATTCCCATAGGGTCAGACTGTCCTCAGTTCCAGGGCACTGTCCATGGTCCAAAAGTAAATGGGTTGCTTCCCCCAGCATCAGTTGTGTGGAGCCTCAGCACAGTGCTGTCTCCAGAATGAGAGCTACGATTACATCTTTCTCTGGAGTCCCCAGTGCGGTTCTGTGGGTGCTCTCCAGCTTTCTCATGAGTCCCAGCACTGCGGCTCCTACAGCCTTCACCTGCTTGGAGCTGCCTGGCTCACCCGTGTGCACTTCCTCCGGACATCACCTGTGGGAAGCATAATGGTCTTGATGATCAAACCTTTCTCAGAGATGTGTCTTGGGGGACAGACCCAGAGGGACAGTGGCAGAATTTCTTGCTGGTGACAGGATGGTGTTAGGCTGCTGCTCTTCTGGGGGAGTTTTGAGGACACTTGGATCTGTGGTGGCAGCAGAGGCAGCTCTTGGCGTGGGGCTCATCCCCTGGGAAAGTGCAGGAGCAGCACTAGGGCACATCACCAGAGACACCAAGGTGGTGTCTTGTCAAGGGCACGACAGCGAGATCCTAGCTGCCGCTCTCAGGCCCATGGTTCTGCATCACTTTTGTAAGGAGCTGGTTTTGGAAAGGAGCTAGTGCTGGCATTCTGGGCCTGTGCCAAGCCAGGTAATTACAATCTGCTTGCCCATATTCCCCCTGTGGTTTCAAAGGTACATAGTATTCAGTCTGCACCAAGTGGTTTGGTCCTGCTGCTCCACTTCCATGGTGAAGGAAGGGACTCGGCACTGCCCACTGTTGTGCTGCTCCCGCTCCTGAGGATCCAGCAGAAGCAGGGTCTTCCTGTGCCTTGTCCAGTGGAGCCTCCAAGCACCCTTGCTTAAAGCTTAGCATCCATCTCTGCTCAGTCTGACTTGCTTGTACCCGCTGGTATAGAGATCTGGAGAGAGAGCACACATAAGAAAATAATCATTACCTTTGGGTCTTGGACAAGGAGATGTTCCCATGGACTCTAAAGCAGCTAGAAACAGAGCTGTGCTTAGATGAGTCGTAAGTGTCCCTGGTCTTAACATCCTTGATGAGGAAGCAGGAAACGAGCTTAGACAGCAGGACGTGTCCCTCCTAACTTGCTCTGTGTCACGTTGACAGTTGCATCTTTCTAGCATCTGTGAGCACCAGCTTTGTGATTTCACAGGAGGCGTTTGGGAAGCAACAGGAGGGCATGAGCAGCCGGGCCAACCTGTATGCACTTGCAAGAAGATTTCCAGTATGGTTGCCTGAGTTGGCATGCACCAACGTGAGCCCTCGCACCTCCTGCTCGTTTCAGTGTCTCGTGGAAATCAGGCCACTTATTTAATGTGCTTCGATACGTATTTAGGTGCCTTACTTTAGCCTTTCCCAGTTGCGAGCCTCAGCCTTGCCATCTCAGTGAAATGAGGGTAATGCCAGACTCATCTGGCTTTGTGGTGGCGAGTGAGTTTTGGCCTGATTCTGTGTCCCCTGGTCTTCAGCAGGGGCTGCAGTTGCTCATTGCATTGGAAAAAAACTGGCTGGTGGGATTTTTAAAGCTATCTGAATTTTAATTCCTATCCAGATGCTGAATATTACCTGCTTGTAATTAACAGCAGAGAGCCACTGCTCGATGGTAACAACCCATGAGAGCAAATGACAGCAAAATAGGAGAGGAGTGGAGGAAAACATAATGGACAGCTCGGACAGTGTGAGAGGCTGCTGCATAATCCTTGCAGCAGGAGACTGGCTTTAGAGAGCCCTGTATGTAGACTTAAGTAATATTTCTGGGGCTGAGGGATTATGTGGGGTTGGGGGCTGTGGATGCAGGGCTCCTGCACCCTATGGCCATGCATGGGGATTTGCGCTGCCTCCCATTCACAAAATTCCTATTCCATAACAGCAGCTGGAAAATTGAAGGTGGGGAAACAAGGCAGCTCCAGCTCACCTGCACACAGCCTTCCCTCTGCAGAGCCACAGATCCCCCCGTAATTCTGTCCCCAGGGAGCAGCGCGGCTCAGTAAACAGCACACACGGAGCTCTTTGGCAGCCAAATCACCCCAGAGATTTTGGCTCTTTATTGCGTCTGCTTTAAAACAACAAAACAGCCCCACTGGAGCAGCCAGTTCCTTATGGCAGAGGCTTTGACCCCGAGTTAAAAACTTAGGAACGGCTGAGCAGTGCGGGTTGCTTTCAGGAGACACACGAGTCCCATCCTTCCCTGTTAATAAATCATCATGAGGGCAGCCCCTGAGTTTGGGGAGCTGTGCTCAGCAGGGGAAAGGCAGATGCTGCCAGGGGGAAGCAGTATTCTGCGGATCCAAACCCTGGGTCTGTTTGTGCGTGGAGCTTGGGGGAGCGCTTAGGGAAAGCTGGGCTAAAATCTCCCTGGGAGCTGCGGAAAATGCCATGAAATGGTGGGGTCTCTGTGTAATTCAGCTGCTCAGATTACTCATTGCTGTAATACTCTCCCAGGCCTTTTTATTTTCTGCTTGGAACTAATTCCCGGGCAGATCCCACCTTCTGCATACGTTGTTGTTATTCCCGTGAAGCACTGTCAGCTTCCAAATCACACTCTGAAAATGTTTTACTTACTACTCCTACAACTAACACCAAAAATCCCAATGGCTGAGAGTGAAATGTGAAAAAGATGGGGTTTGGGTTTATTGTCTGTTTGCATTTCGTGTGTGCGTGGGTTCATGGAGGTTGGCACTTACGGCCCTTGCATTCCCCAGCACCATGCGAACAGGGGAAGGAGAGGAAAAAGTGGGTCCATAAAGTCCATCCATCTTCTGAAATACTTGTCACCTCTTGCAGTGAATACCTGTGTGCCAGCTGCTGGGGACATGGTGCTAGTTAGCGGTGATGTGCATAAAAGAGGTGGAAAACATTGGTGGTTTTCTACCTTTAAGGGAAAAGTCATTAAATTGTGTCAGGAGCAGCTGCCTGACACCTCCATCTCCCCTCTTCCTGCGTGCCTTGTACCCTTTCACTGCAAGACACGGTGAACTTTGTGCACTGAACGGTTGTGGTGACATGTGGTAGCATCCTTCAAAAGGGCTGGGTGAAGTCACAGCCCTGGGATGTGGATGTTGCAGCTGAATGTCCGTTGGGAAATGCAGGGGAGGGCAGCTCCTGCAGAATGCAGGCTTTGCAGGACTTAGTGCAGGAAGAAAGACCCATCCTGCCAAAGCGTTGCCTTCCAGAATGCTTGCGGCAGGTTTGTACCTTTTTTCCATGTTTCTCAACAGGCAAAAAGCAGAGTTGCTCCAGCTCAACCACTGCCAGATGAGAGGTTCGCTTCTATAAAGGAAGAGCACTGTGTGCTGCCTCCATCACCGACAGCCGCTGTGGAGAGCTCTCCTAAAAGTGCACGCTCCCACTGGTACTAGGGCAAATCAAGATCTATGGGACAAAGCCTGCTGAATTAAGGACGCATTAAGCTGCAAGAAACAAAGCTGTGAAGGGAGAAGGACTGACAGCCAGGAGCTGCAGGGCCGGGGCTGGTTACAGAACACTAGTGGGAAAGCGAGGCTGGATAGGACCTGTAGCATCTCAAATTATATTAGATTACCAGGGTTTCTCTGTGCAGATGAGCCAGTGGCTGTTGAGTCCTGCTGTGACCCTGGCCAGATCTTTTTCTGCACCTCTGTTTTCCATGTTACCCACCGGAGGGCCTGTCTGAGGGAGCCTGGTAGGGCAGGATTTCACTCATGATGCTTTCACAATGTGCTAGTGCTTCCCCACTGTGGGTGTGCAGGCGATGCATGAGAGATGGAGGCCGGTTCCAGCAGTGAGGTGCTGCGGCATCACACTTGGCACAGCCCATACTGAGTGGCTGGGCAGCAAATCTGCAGCACCAGGTTCAACACCCTCCAGGGGTCCTGTTTTCTTGCTCTTGTTTACCCAGAAATGGCATTAACGATCAACATCTCTGCTGAGCATCCCTCCATGCGGAGCATCTTCTGGTTGGAAGCTTTGGGAGGGCCATGTCTTGGGGACATCCCAGTGCCAGGGATGCCACTTGAGGCAACCAAAGTAGTGTTTTACCTTCACAAACGCTGCTTGAGTTGAGTTTGTGTGGGCTGGATTTATCCAAAATGCTACTCAGCCTGGTGCATGGAGCCCTGCAGGCAGAAGGCAGGTTCCTTGAGACCCACAGCAAAAGTGGCTTCACCAAAAAATGTGGGGTTACGTTAGTATCAGCAAATCTGCTGGTGAATGGCTGCAAAGCTGCACCCTGGGTCTGGTCCCTTCTTACAGCGCTAATGGGCTTGTGGGTGCTGCACCAGGAGCAGCAGCACCCAAGAGGGGAGAGGCTGCTTCCAAGCACCCAGGCAGCTTTGGTGTGTGCACATGGAGCTTTTCTATGGAACAAGCCT